GGCCAAAAATAAGTTGCCGACACCAACTGCAGTGTGCGATCTCGCCCGACGTGTCCCTCAGAATGCAGTTCCTCAATGACTTTCAGACGCAAACTACAATCAGGAAGGCAGATTCGCAAGCCCCGAAAAAGAAAGCCATCCGTAAAATTGTAATCCGTACGTGCACCATTCTTGACTTCAGCAACAATAGGACCAAAAAACGGATCAGAAACATAAAGTTCCGAGAGCGAAGCAAAGCCAGGCACAGCAGCATGCATCGTGGTAAGCAAATAATGCCGCCGACTAAGTGCGTCTGCCACGCGATTCAATTTGCCAGACTTATGACGAATGGAGAACGTGAACTGTTGTAGGTATGCAATCCACGAGGCATGTCTAGCTGAGACCTTAAGCTGACTATCGAGATGTTTAAGAGCATCATGGTCGGTGAAAAGAATAAAATCGCGATGCACCAAATAATGTCGCCAATGCTTCACCGCTTGCACCACTGCGTAAAACTCCACATCGTATGTACTGTAACGACTGCAAGCGCCACCTAACTTCTCGCTGAAATATGCTACAGGTCGCGCTTGCTGGCTCAACACGGCTCCAATGCCCAACTTTGAAGCATCGCAATGAAGTTCAAAAGGAAGCTCAAAGTCAGGTAGTACCAAGATTGGTGCCGTCGTTAGCTTTTCCTTAAGAAGATGGAAAGCATCACGAGCTTCTGCCGTCCAAATAAATGGATTCGATTTCATACATTCCGTCATTGGCACGGTGATGGAGCTGAAATGCGAGACAAAACGTCTGTAGAAAGAGGCCAAACCGTGAAAGCTACGTAACTCCGAGACAGTGCGAGGCTCAGGCCAAGATCGTACAGCCTCCACTTTGCTCTCGTCCATCGCCAAGCCTTGCGAAGACACAATGTAGCCCAGAAAAAGGACCTTATCGACGCCCAACTCACACTTTTGTTTGGCCACAAACAACGTCTCTCGTCGCAACACAAGCAACACCTACCGTAAATGATCCGGATGTTCGCGCAGAGAAGAACTAAAAATCAATATATCATCGAAGTAAACCACGATAAATTTACCGATATATGGGCGCAAAGCCTGATTCATCACTAGCATAAAAATACTAGGAGCGTTTGATAAACCAAAAGGCATAACCATCCATTCAAACAATCCTTCCCGCGTCTTGAAAGCTGTTTTCCATTCGTCACCCGGGCGAATTCGAATTTGATGGTAACCACTTTTAAAATCAAGCTTCGAAAATATTGTTGCACACCCAATCTGATCCAGTAAATCATCCAATCATGGAATGGGAAAACGGTAACGGACAATGATCTTATTAATAGCCCTGCTGTCAACACACATACGCCAAGACCCATCCTTCTTGGGAATTAAGAGTGCTGAAACGGCACAAGGGCTTAAGCTCTCGCGGATGTGTCCTTTGGTCAACAGACCCTCAACTTGACGACGTAACTCCGCATGTTCTTTAGGGCTCATCCTGTAATGAGGGCGGTTAGGCAACGCAGCACCCGGAACGAAATCGATATGGTGCTGTATGTCACGCATGGGGGGTAAGCCTTGAGGAAGATCATCCGGACAGACGTCTGAAAACTCGTACAGAAGCTCCCGAATCGAGGCTTCAGGTGTTTGCAAAGATATTTGTTTCTCATCGGACGCCAACAACACAACCGCAAACCCTGTATCTTGCATCTCAGACTGGAACCTCGCAGGAGAACAAAACAAGACATTCCCCGCTTGTGATGCGTCTGGTGTCGCTTCAAGACCTTGCTGCTCCGTAATGCGTGGAGTTGCTGAATTTGGAAGCAACACAATACGACGATTGTCAAACACAAAACTATGCACGTTCGTACGAACATTATGGGAAACATTCCGATCATATTGCCACGGTCTGCCCAACAGCAAGTGACCTACATCCATTGGAACAACATCACAAAATATCTTGTCTTGTAATAAAGACCAACAGAGAATGCCACCAATGCACGCTGTGTGATCTGAATCTTTGTTCCTTCTTGTAGCCATGTTAACTTGTACGGAGCGGGATACTCTTCCCGTTGCAATCCCAGTTTCCGGCAAGCCATCTCGGACACCACATTACGACAACTCCCTGAATCAATCACAAAACAGCATACTTTACCCTTAATCGTACACGTAGACTGGAAGATATTGGTGCGTAACCATGGCTCTTCCCCAACCGCCGGAGCCAAACATACACGCGAGACCAATATTTGTCCTGTATCCCCATTGTTATGGTCCTCTGGAAGGCTGTCATCGTCGTGAGCATCGTCATTGTTATCGTCGTCCCATTGAACGTCATCAACTAAAAGACCTCGGCGATTGTTCTTCGGGCAAGCGGTCTGTATATGACCGTGTTCGCCACAAGAAAAGCACTTCAATGCGTTAGGGCGAGTTGATCGGTGCAGCTGGGGAGCAGTAACCGTGGAATCACCCTGCGCTGGTTGCGTCATTCGATTCTCTCCACCATCTCTCGAGTTTTGACCAGATATTGCCGATTCCGGTCCCATGTTTCCCGCGACTCTGTTTCTACTCGAGGCACTCCAAGAGTTATTCGATTTGAATTGCTGTTCAAAGGCAATAGCTCTCCGACGAGCTTTCGAAATAGAGGAAGGATCAAATTGTATCATGGCGTTCTGAATTTGTTGTCGTAATCCACCCACAAAGCGAGACACCAGCTGAATTTCACTATCAAAAATCTCATTCCTTGTTATGAGAAGGAAAAATTCATCAGCATACTCCTCCACCGTATGGGTACCCTGGCGAAGGTTTTGTAGACGCATATACATAAGACGATCATAATTGTGGGGAAGAAAAGCCTCCTTCAAGTGTTTCTGCAGTTTCGCCCATGTCGTGATCTTTTCCTTCCCTGTATGAGCTCGTGTGGCTTTCAATTGTAACCACCATGATGCTGCTCGTCCACGAAACTTAGTAGCCACGAGCGCCACTTGTCTCTCTGGCGGCACTTGTTTGAACTCCATAAGTTCCTCCACTGCAACAATCCAATCCAGCAGCTCCTCACCACGGACGCTGCCCTGAAACTCGGAAATATCAAGTTTGAAACCCGCTTCCCATGTCTTATCATCATAACCCTGATCATCTTCCCGATCACGATGATGCCTCTCCCGTGCAAAAGAATTCCGACGACTCATCTGAATATTCACTCCGGGCATCATGATCACGATCGTGATTGTCTTCCTGCGTTTTCAGAACAGTCTCTGCTAATTCATGTATTGAATTAGCAATCGTCATCTGGATATTCTCTTGCATTGCCAACAGAGTCCTACGAAGCTCAGCCCACTCGTTTGACTGATCCTCTTCACGTCTCTCGTTGGTGTTTTGTGTGTTACGCTTAGGTGCCATGAATTGTTGAAATCAAAAGGCTTAGACAGGAACGTCGTGTCTCTGATACCAAAACTGGCGCAGCCTAAACACACAAGTTCGATGTTCGTTGATTCCCGCATAATAACCGAACAAAGAACAGCTTGAACTTCGTTGATTCACCTGAATAGCCGAAGACTCAAGAGATAAATAAGCTGTAAAGCTCTGTTTTCTTATTCAATAAAATCATTGTCTAATACAAAGGAAAGACGAAGCTTTATATAGAGAAGACTTCGTAAAAGATAACGATAGCAGATATACTTCTATGCAATAGAAGTTATCACGTATTATAAATAAATCGAAAATCAGAAAACCTAATCCTAATAGGATTAACACCAAAACCAAAGCTTTATAGGATAAACACCAAAATCCGATAACCCATTGATATTGAAGATGACACTGCATCAAGTTCATTATTATAGAATATGATAATTAAAAAAAAGTTGCGGCTCTAAGAAAAGTTTCAAAGAATCTCAAGCCAATCTTTGCTTTTGTGCGGTACCTACAAATTAACTAGTATTAACAATGGAAGGCAACAATGAAGGCCACAGTTTAATTAACCATAGACTGGTCAAAATGTAACAAAAAGAGTATTAGTTACCTCTAAATAATGGAGTTCAAGAAATTTGATAGAGCGTAATCATTTCTCAACAAGGTAGGACTTAGGAGATAATAAAGCTTCGGCCTATTGAACCAGAGGAGCAATCAAAGTCCGTACAAATTAGACTCTAAGCAAAGAAATTGGCCAGACCCACCTCCACAGACTATAAGTATTTAGTTCTCCATATATAAATGTCAACAAAACGATCAATTAGATTCTGTTATTATGATGACATAGTGTGCAATGACACCTAAAAAACAAAAGTAATCAAGAGCTAATCAAAACCTATAGGCTTAGCTTCAACAAGTTCTCTGATTAACAAGAATATTTGTTTTAAATTTCTAAAGGCTAGAGGAAAGTTAGGTCGAGCTTAACAACTAATGATTCTATATCAATAATTTAAATAAGGAATATGAAAAAAATGGAGAGAGAAGACACATAACTCAAAGAAGAACACTTAACAACTAAACAAGTCTCTTAAATACATGGAGAACTTTGACAATGGGAAACACTAGCAGGCAACAATGTTTGAGTGACGACAGGGTTCCCACACTTAAAACTCTATCACATGCATTGTAGGGTTCTTTGACTTGAACATAAACTATATAAACAGCAAAAGTCTAAGAAGCAGGGACGGGACTTAACCTTGCCATGCGAGGATAACAAACACCATGTAAAATAGAAGAAGCACACAAAACCAATCATTCCATGAACCATGATCAAAGTACTTTTGCTGTTTTTACCCTTTTGGGCCGACTAATTTGATCATTATATGCTGCTGTGTAAACTCAATGCACATACAAGTAGTCGACACAGTTAGTTTATAGGTTAACTGGAGATTAAGTATTATGTTGTTTTCTTATTAAAAAATTAATTTAAATATGAATTACCAAATAGGTAGAGAGTGAAACCCTTTTTATAGATGATGATTAGATAAGTAGACAAAGGTTCTTGACAAAAAGAAAGAAAAAGAAATAAAGACAAAGGTTAGATTTTGTTCAGAAGTTTGCTGGCCAGTTGGGATGACCAAGTTGTGATTGCTGATATGTAGCAAGCTGAGACGGAGGAGAGGGAACCACCCCGACTCCAACGTTACCACCAAGCCCAGGTCCCATGTGGTGCGGATTCGCCATTGCACCAGGCTGTTGCGGGTGGAAGAGACCCTGGAACTGCATCTGCGAAGATTGTGCTGCTGCGGCGTTGAAGGATGGATGCTGTGTATGGGAATGCGATGACAAATAAGCACCATGGTGCGTTTGTCCTGCTACATTGTAATATGGAGGAGACTGAAGGCTCGAAAGATCTCTTGGATTTTGCATCCATATCTCAGAAGTCTCCGCCTGCTGTGTCACACAAAGAAACACAATTCAGATTAAAAACATAACGAGCAGAAACCTGACAAGAGGAACATAGATTACTTATCATTATTACCTGAGGATTTGGAACGTAGATGCTTCCATCTTTGTATTTCATGCGAGATGGATCTTCAAGTCCCATAGCGTTTCCGACTACATTGGGGGAGTTAATCTGATACCCATTAGGGTTGTTGTAATTCCCAAAACCCGTAAGACCACCTGTTGGGACTGGTTTGAATTGCTGGATGCCATACTTGACACCATTTGATCCCAGATGCGAACCGTTCCCAGGCATCAGCACATAGCTGTTCCCATTTGAAGGGTGCGCATACGCTGCTTGGTTACCTGAGTAGCCTGGCATGGGCATCTGGGGAACATACACTGGGGAGAGGAACTGACGATAAGGCATGAGATTTGGAAAATGCGAAACATGAACCTGCGGGTACATCTGTTGCATTGTTGCCTGTTGTTGTTGCTGTTGTTGTTGTTGCTGTTGCTGCTGCAACATGGGAATCGTTGACGAAGGGCCATTGATCACCATGTGAGTACTAAATGCCTGCTGCATTAACAAAATATACCTGGTTAGTTTTTCTTGGCTAACGAGATGAAAGATAATCACGACACATGCACCTGCTCAAAGAGACAGAAATTACCTCCTGCTGAGATGGTAATCCTTGTCCCCGCACGTTTTCATCCATTGCAGGACTAAAATACGGAAAGTCATAACTACCATGATTATCATATGCCTGCTGAAAAAGAACCAGCGTGTCAGTTTTGAGTGTATTTATCTGCCTTGCAATTTTACTAGGTACAATTTCAAGAAACCTTACAGAATTTTTATGCAACTCAGGAGCATCTTGCTGCTGTTCAAACTCTAAAGGAGTATGAGGTAGACCATTCCTATTGAGCAATTGAATCCCCGAGTACTCATCTTTATTGCCAGATCTATGAGCCTCCTTCTGTTCAGGTAACTGTTGCTCAGATGCCACCGAGACAGGTGAGTCAGATCCAGAAATTCTGGCATCATCACCAACAATATCTATAGGTTTAATGCCCGGACCATCTGTTAAAGCCTCAGGAGAAGTTACTGGCGGGCTGTAAAAAATATCACCAAGTTACTTGAGAAAAGATACAAGTGATCTCAAACTTTATTCCAAATGTAAAAAAACAAATAACACCACCAACTGTCAAAAACTTACCTACGATCAGATTCTTTAAGTTCTTCTGAAGAGCATGATTCCTGGAAAGCGGATGCTGAATTTCTTGATAAGCTAAACTCTTCACCAAAGTTACCAAAAGTCAGCTGACACCGAGCAGCCTCCGGGACGCGAATATCATCTGCGATGATAACATGCTGACTTTCACTGAAATGAATATGCGAAAGCTTATCTTGCAACTTAGCAGACTCTGTTTCCAAGTTTATGGAATTATCAGCTGGACAAGCCTGAGACTTTGTAGGTGTTTCAATTACTCCATCGTTATGTCCAACAGGTTTCGTAATTGATTTAGGCTTCCACTCCTTGTTCTGTGAGACTCCTGCATCAAGAATATCAGAAGTCATGACAAGAAATGGCTTCTCAAAAGGACTTCCCAATGGATTAAAAAAGCAATCTTAACCAAACAGAAGCTACACGCACAAATTAAAGTGCCTCCTTAAGCAAAAGGGTTAGCAGGAAGCAAGTCAAATGTTCCTAAATAGATGCATATAAACTACCTTTTGAATGGCCACCAACTTGTTGTTGCGTTCTAGCATATTGGCTCCCTCTATTCCCACGCTGTCTGTTCAAAAGAGGCCTATTCTTTTCCACACCTCTGGGCAAAGCAGACTCTCGTGTAGTAGTTTGACTGGGTTGATCAATCTTGGAAGCTGGGGCAGATGATTGATATGCGTTTGGAGTCCCGCTTTTTCTAATCGAGGACCCCGACAAAGAACCAGCAGTCGCAGACGGATCTTTACCAGCATTTTCAGAGGGTTTTCCACCAAAACCTCCACCTCTTACTTCACGTCTAATAGCTCCCACGGGTGATGATCTAGAAACAGGAGATGGTACATGAACTGGATCTGTGGAAGACAAATATACACCGAGTACTGAATTGGTTGATGGCAAAGTAGCTCCATGTGCTGTCTGCTTTCCAGCAGAGAATTCTTTTCTGGTAGGACGGTGCAATGGAGCAATTTCAGCATGCCTACGCTTGACATATGCTGATGCATTACAATCGTCACCAAAATCTTGAGCACCAGAAGAGCGATGATTGCCTAAACCACCTGTTGAACTGGCAAACAATGAAAATAGAACAACGATCTTAATTTTCTCATTTGAATTCAGCATAGCGTTTCCTCAAAATTATAAGATAACCATGTTAGAGGGAACTGCATTGGAATGCCTACCAAGTCAACATAAGCATTACTGTCTCCAACTGATAAAAGCCAATGCCAAAAAACTAATGCATCCATCTTATTGACTTAGTTTGATTTTCAGAAAATTACAGCCAAAGCGAATTAATTACCAACAGCATTACATTTTTTTTCTTAAAAAACACCAACGAGTATCATATCATGCTATTCAAAGCAAGGCAAGTAAGCGACAGAACGTACTAGAAAAAGAACAGCAGGATAACGTACTACTGATGAAACATACCCTTTTTTGTCCACCGTGGCCACTAATTTGCTAATATTTGATCCAGAAGACTGGGCGGAAGAATGCTTCATCTCTTCATCAACATTTGGATTAGACCTGTTGTCTCTAACAACGCGAAACTCTTTATTAGACCCTGCAGTAAAATGAACCATTCATAAGTCAACTTAAAACAAGTTACAAGGATTATCGCTCAGCCACACGTAAGAAACTGGCAAGTATATTATCATCACACTCATTTACCAACAGCAGGATTCCTAGGAAATGCATTTCGTGGAGCAGCGTTCCTGGGGAATATATTCCTACTGTAGCCTCCTCTCCGTACATTGTGTTCAGGCTGTGTAGGAACTTTCGCTTCAGTGGTAACATTTTCAATAGGTTTCTTCTTGTTAGCAGGCTCAACAGATACTGCATCCTGAATTCAAAGGAGATGAAGTAAAAAAATCAGGGTTCATAGAGGACAGAGGTTTGCAACACCCTTTTTCACACTGTAACCCATAAACTGACCTTCAAAATGAACCCAAAAACATAAAAGAAGGATCCTAATAAAATTCAGAAAACTATATGAATGGCTTGGAAAGTTGATAAAGCTTTCGTCCACCACTTCGAAGGCACGCATAAAAATGAAAATTCCATATTCAGTATGGTTTGAAAGTCCACTAAACACATCAAAAAAAAGCTTAGCACACGTAGACATCCGATGAGATAGAGTAGTAACACTAGCACTACTAGCACTACGAACAACCAAGTAAACTTCTACAAATGCAGTGTAGAAAAAGAGTCAAATGTAAAATGAAACTACCATAGCAAATAATTGTGACCTTACCTCTTTCTTCCTGTCTTTTCTTCTCTTCACCTCGTGGAATGGATCTGAGAAAAAGAAAGGCTTTAGCAGACCAAAACGATGATGAAAACAGTAACACAATTATTCGAAGTGGTCATCCAGATAAAAGACATTATTGGCAAACAACAACACGAGAGCCAGTAGAACAACAGGAAAACATAAAATGAAATCCAATCCTAAATCCAGGAATTCTGAGGCCAGCGAAGATCAATAATATTCCAGGTATGTATGCAGTAAAATTACGAATTCTAGAGATAATTTGACAAATATCGAAATGAAAATGTTAACCGTCTAGAGAAATATAACAAAAACTCCGTAAAACAAGAACAACAAAACAGAACCTATCTACAGCATTCTACATACGCCTCATGCAAATTTTAAGAAGGCGCAAACAAGATGTTGTAGCATTCCTAGTGATCACAATAAGAACTCTAAGAAAAATAAAAGGAGGAAAAATCGAAACCCTAGTTTCCGTCAAAGTGACAAAGAGACGAAGAGGAAAACCTTGATGAATCAGCTTCTGCACAGCCTCATCGGCGTTCATGTTAGCTTCTTTTAAGGCGATGTAGATATCGGCGTCGGAGTGATTACCCACAACTTCCTTTATCGATTGAATCACCTTTCTATCTTCATCATCGAGTCCCATCACCCGATTATCGGCGGTTCTGGACCCAGTAACCATTACCGATCAAGCCGTATCGAATTAATCGGAAACAGGAAACAGCGAAATACAAGGATCGATCTATGAGTGTCTAGCAAAACGAATTACGATCCGCGCAAGTGAGGTGACGCTAATGATTCGACTCTTAAACCCTAAAATCAGATACAGCACCTAGGGTTTCGAGTACAGAGACGAGGAAGAAGAAGAGAGGGAACGGCTTAAAGAGAGAAGAAAAGTAGTAAAAGGATTTGGGGGAAAATAAAAATAAAAAATTAGAACGAGGGTTTATTGTCACGCGTCGAAAATCAGTAATTGGATAAACGCAAAATGACCATTCTACCCTTATAGATAAATGATTAAGGAAATGGATAAAAGTTAAATTATAGTGAGAGAAAGAACGTCATTTCTCTGATTGGAAACTTCTATGGATTTTACAAAGAGAGATGTGTGTACTAATTGATTTTTTTTTTTCTCCTTTTTCTGAACGTATAAAGCAAAGTCGTGTGATCATTATTGACAGCAGACCATGGTTTGTTCGGATAATTCAAGTCGTTTCGGTTTGTCTAGATTGAAGAAATTTCTGCTGAACAAAAGAGTAATAAAACGAATGACCTCTCTTTATAGATGATGTCAATGAAAGCACATTGCATTATCTCAAAAACCAAAGTTATGTCCATCCATGTGTAGCTAAGCTTTTCTCCAAGTAAAACATTTGAGAAAAAGAAGAAAAAAAAGTGTTTTGGTTTGCTGTGTCAGATTCATCTAGAGAGCATCATGCATCATCACAAGTATTGCTGTTGTATCCGAGCTCTGTTCTGCTCCCACCACAATCTTGCATTCGTTTCCCCAAACCTCTCTCGGCTACAACAACAATGGCAAATGTTGTTTTTAAGTGCTTTCTTTTGTAAGTTTTTTTAAAGGAACAGGAAAAGTGAATGGCTTTTACCTGAATCGAACACGTCTAAGCTCGCGAGTCCCATCTGGTAAAGCTCTGATTGTGATGTAAACACCTGCTTCGTCTTGTTCCACCCACTCTGTTTCACTGTCGCTTGCATTACTTACAGAGAGCTCCCCTGAATGATCTGCTTCTTCTTCTTCCTCTTCCTCCTCCCTCGATGAGCTGCTTCTTGCAGACACATCAACCGATGATGTCTCGGTTTTGGTCCCACTTATGCTAGACAGTTTTGGCGTCGTGGCAAGACCAGACGAATCACGGTATCGACTTTGTGTTTGTGCTGTCTGTTGGTGAGGGAGTGAGCCAGAAGAAGCGTAGCCTTTTCCTCGAGGGCATTCTTTGTTTAGAGGTGGAGTTGCAGGACTGTTCTTGGTAGACTGAACTCGCGAGCTCTGTGTATACATATGAAAAAAACTAGTTAGACCTCAAACATGTTATGATACGTTTCAGATGTGAAGAAAGAAGAAGTAAGAAGCATTACATACCCCATCTTCGGACCTAGGCTGAGTTGGAAGCGGGACGCTCTGCTGATTAAACTGCTGCACATTATATAACTCCATGACCTTGTCGAAATTCTCCGCCCACCATTTTTGAGCTTGCCATTTATCGAACATTTCACGGCTGCAACAAAAATAGAAATCTTAGCAATGAATCAACAAACCAAGCGAACAGTGGTTAGGTGAAAAAAACAAAACTCAGGGATCTGTTTGTAATCATCAATAAAATCTAGAGATATCAATTCTTTTGACCCAAAGTGTCCCTCTTTGATGATGAGGCCATGAAGAAAGTTAGTTGCATCAGTCTTGCTCTCATAGATGGGACTCATCTACATAATGAATTTGGCTAAACGCTTCCCCACACACAACTGTTCTTGGGGAATCAATCCATTTAAGATCGGATTCGACTACCGAAATATATAATCCACATCTCAATAACCTTTCTTGGCAATAGGATTACAACGAATGTTTGGGGACCACTTACAAATTGATTCAAGAAAAATGTTAAGTTTCCAAAACAAATACTATCTAACAAAATAAGAACATCTTTAATATCAAATGTACTTCTCATATCTTGTCCCCAAGAAACACACATTCTCTGTTCATTTCAGTTTGAGTACCATCATCTTCAAGGTCCCCTAATTATGTATTAACCTGATTCATTTCAAAGATGCCAACTTTCACTTGGTGTAAATGCTACAAAACAACAGAGATCAAAATTACCTGAACCGAATCCGCTTGAGATCATTCCCTCCCTCAGGCAATGATACAAATGTGATGAGGACACCAGGCTCCACTTGAGCAACCCATTCTTTGGGCTCGTCTTCTTCCTCCATGAACACTGTGGACTCTGACCTACCACTCATGGACTCAGGTGTGCCTTCTCCACTCAAAAGCCCTTTCAACCTCGACTCCATTTCCTTCCCTAGAATCTTCGGCGTTGAGCTTCCGCTTCCCGCTCTCTTGTACGCATAGTGGAACCTCCCTGAAGCTGATGCAGCATCCGAGTCAGCGTAGTTTCGGTTCTGATTCCGGTTCGACGATCCCGAACACGGTTTGCAGCTTTTGTAAGCACCTGACGCTTTTACTGCCATGTCTTTTATCTGGAGATTCACACATGTACAAGAAGAATCACATGATTTATGACGAAAATCAGATAATAAAATCTAAAAGTCACAGGACTAATGTATTTGGCTTCTAGAAGGAAGAAAACGACTTTTCTCATTTCGTTGAAAAGATCATAAACCAAAACAGACAGTAGGCAAATGATTTGACTTGTTAGTTTGTTCTTAGCTCCCAAACAGAAACCAACAAGACCAAAGATGGTCCTGTCTCGGAGCCTCTTTCCTTTTTTTTCCAATTTGTTGTTTTTCAGAAAGAACAAAAACAAAAAACCAAAAGAGCTCGTGAAAGTGACACAGATAAAAGAAGAGTTTTATCTACTTGTGATGTCAGGGACTTAATCGCCTGCTTAGACCTGGGTGTTCCGAGAACTCTGTCACCTTCTTCTTCTTCTTCTTTAGATCCGCCATTGTTGGTGTTTAACTGCTTCGAGCAAGCTATGCACGTGAGCATCTCTCTCTCTCTCTCACCCTCCACGAAGTTTCAATTCGACCTGAGAATGAAGCCGGAAGATTTATAAGGAACCCCAAAATCACTTTTTTTAAATCTAAAACCTTTTCAGATAAACTAAAAAAGACTCGCAATAATTCGTACCTTTATGCGACAGTAGTTGCGCACTGCACTACTTGTACCTACAATACATATATATACACTCGCAAGTCGCTAAATTCGATTGCTTTTCTCTGCCACGGAGATTTCAATTTCAGATATACTCAAATGACGACGGCAGGCGAAGGAAGAGAACCGTTACGCCACCGGAAAATTAGATCAGACCTAGAAACGATTTCAGCATTAAAAACTCTCGAGGTCCGCTCTTTGCGGCTTGAAGCTCCTTGACAGAGAGATAGAATGAGAGAAACTCTTTTAACAATTTGTGAAATCCGAAGCCGAATTCAGAAGCAAAATGCAAAAAAAGCCACGAATTTTGGTGAGAGAGAGAGAAAGAGAGGAACTTTGAGATCGTCGGACACTGCGAAAGTTAGCGCACAAGTGGTGGTGTGTATTGTGTTCCTACTTCCTATATAAAGCTCTACTCTTTCTTCTTCCTTCTTTTTTTTTAACTATTGGCCAAATATCAGATTCGTTTTTTTTTTTCTAGCTTTTAGTGATATTTATGGGATTAATACTAAACCCAAATGTGATTCTGATTGGTTAAGTTTATATCCGAATTTTGCAACTTTATATCCGACTTTTGTTAAGTTTTGATTTATATGTTTGGTTCTTCCTTAACGTCTATTTATGTTTAGTTACTTTAACCTATTTTCACTGCAGATTTATAATTAGTTTTCATTAGTCTTGTTATTTTTGAAAGAAACCTACTAGTAGTAAAGTTGTAAAACTCATTAAGTACGCAGCCCTAAATTAATTAAACAAACTAGTTGTACTGCTTGGAATTGTGTAAATGGGAACCAAGAAAATTTCAAATTATATTCTCTTTTTAATTTCCTTTTACCTGTTTCCAATCTTAATTTGTTTTACTTTTCTCTTTTTTTTTTTCTTTTTCGTTTCTTTCACTTTTTAAAGTACAAGATTCAGCAAAGAATAAAATGATTTTAGCTTTTTTAGGTTTATTTATAGTAGAAACGATATTAAGAAGCGTGCAACATATCCATGGCGTGATCAGAGATTGACACGTGCACCATTGAATGATTCTGGCTGTCGATTTTGCACCCAGGAAAAGAGAAGAAAAAAAAATAAACCAACAAAAACAAATCTAATTTGTTAAGAATGTGTCAATTTTTTCAGTTGTGACTTGAAACCGTGACTTTGGAAAAAATGTTTGATATGATAGGCATTAAACGAACTTATCATTTGTCAGCCATAATTCAAATTAATTTATAGGCAAAGTAGTTTAATTTTTTTCCCAAAAAAACGATACCAGTCGTTTAAATTAACTGCATTCGAATAAAATGCAAAACCAAAAAAAGGGAATAGTTACGAGTGTATGAGTATTTGTATAAATGTCAGAGATGGTCACAGGAGCGCCGTGAAGCAACGGGCGAGAATTAACTACACTGTGGAATTTCTTACCATACACACACCATTTGAAAATTTGAAAATTAATATTTTAGTCTTTCTCTTTAAGTTGTGTTATTTCTCTATTTTTTAACTAAAGACAGCTAAAACAATACTCATTCGATTAGAAAAATAAAAGAGAAATTACAGCAATGAATGATCAGATCGGGGATACTGGAAATATTATTTTTTTTACCTTGCCACGTGAAAGATCACTGTTTTCTTTTGATTTTACGTTCGATAATTGTATTTTTTGGATTTTTGTTATTTCTCCTTCCTTTTTAATTTTCACATGTATATTAGCTTAACAGTATAACTTATCCGTTATAACTAAAACACCTCACAAAGTCACAATGATCTCTTTGACTCGAATATCTCAGATGTGTATTTCGATTTAGTTTTGGTAGCCAATTGCTAGTATTCAAAAGTCAAAACTATATGTTACATTTCTAAATTGTGTACTAAGTACTAAATTGATTTTTTCTTACCTTGATTTTATCTGTTATGTTTAACATTTAAGACTAATTTTTTTAATGGCAATTATGATCATTAATATTTATGCCTTGCTTTATGGTGACAAATAGTAGTATGTTGCACTTTCGAAACTGAAATAAAGTGATTTATCTGAATTCTGAAAATAAGTGATGATGAGACATGCAATGAAGCATGTACTACTATTTAAGATTCAAAGCTTGTTATTATTAAATAATAATTTAAACTTTATAGAGTCGTTTTCCAACTAAGCCTATTCATTGCTTTTTTTTTTCCAAACCTTTTCTGTCTCTCCTTCAAAACTTTGAGTTTGAGCAATTGGATTTAAAACCATTTTGAAAGCTAAGTTGACATTATCCCCATCATTAAGCAAACCATAATACGATTTTTTAAAGTTTATTTTGAAGTATGCTTTGCTTCAGGTAACGCTTTGATTAATCTCTTTATTCTTGCTCTGATTTCTTTCAAAAATCAAATGAAGGTAAATTATAATCGAAGGCTTGACCCTTTATGGCTAATATGTGTCTAAAGATCTGGAACGATCCCTTTATTTTTACTAAAAGCGTTGCATAAAAATTAGAAGAAGTTCTTAATGGTTAAGGTAAAGTGATCGGATTAAAGGGGGGAATACAGAAGAATTTAAAAGATAAAAGATAATACAAGTTGGGTATCAATAACCCAATTTGAGCCCATAGTTTGTTGGGCCCAAATATAGTTAACAAGAAGAGACCATATTAGCTTACTATGCGCTTCTCCGCAGGTGATCAACGATCTGTTTCTTGTAGCTGTTCTTTCTTTTCATCATTTTGCTTCTCGCAGAAATCAAAGAGTTGCTCAGCTCCGATCATTGTCTCCGAGTATCTTTTCCTCTAAGATTAATGGTGAATCGCTTACCGTCACTCTCTCTTCGCGAATCTTTGCTCTGTACGAAACCTTGACTCGTTGCGTTGGAAACCATTTAACTCGTCCCCCTTTCGGAGCATTTCGTTTATAGTTGTGCCGGCGAGTTGGTTTCTCATCGGGTTATCTCTTCTTGAGGTAAATATGATCTTCTTAGGCTCTTAGCTCTGGGTTTTGTAAACTGTATTCCTTGCTTTCTTTATCCTTCCGCGTTTATCCGGTCAGATTTTGGGAATTTGGTGATTCGGGTGGCCGATTTAGGGTTTGTTTTACTGGAATAAGTAGCTCAAGTTTGAATACATTGGAGATGACTTTTATCGATTTCTGATGATTGTATCAATGCCGAAACTCTTTAGTTTTGCTTCCATTACTCCACATTTCCGTGCGAATAATCGTTAAGATCATCGCTACTTGTTCTTTACTTTCCCGTTTTTTTTTTTGTTTCCATCCATAACACTGTTCTTTAGATTAATCGGTATGTTTTATGTATGAATCCATCTCTTGTTTGCGAAAGTCTTGTTCTTGTAAATCACAGACGATCTAATTATTTGTCTTCGTCTTCTTTTCCTTTTTAGTTTGAACAGTTTGAGGCTGCAATGAGTATGCAACCTGATCTTCAGTCGAAACCCTCATCTAATGGATCTCCACACAGAAGAGGTGAAAGAGAGGGAGTTTCGAATAAGGCGCAGCCTATGAAGTCACATCCTGCAAATACACCAAAAACAGGTTGGCTGTTGATACATACTCTGTTTATATATCTGCAACGTCTTCTTCTGAGTTCTCATGCTTGCTGACATATTTTCTGCATTCATTGTGGAAGCTGTAAACTTGGAGAGGCCTTCGCGCGATCATTTAGTGTACCTTACGACATGTAAGATTGGGCATGTTGTTGAAGTGCAGCTAAAAAATGGATCGGTGTATAGTGGTATATTTCATGCTGCTGATGTAGAGAAAGATTTTGGTGAGGCTCTGACTCAGAATCGGAATGTTTTTCCTTAATGAAGTAAAGTATAGAAAGACACTATTCTCTCTTGCCAATTATAATTTTCTTGAAACTTCCAGGAATCATTCTAAAGATGGCATCCTTGATTAAAGAAGGTACTTTACGAGGGCATAAATCCCGTTCCGAGTTTGTCAAAAAGCCACCTTCCAAGACATTCATTATTCCTGCTGATGAACTTGTGCAAGTTGTAGCTAAGGTGTGCTTGCTCTTAATAACCACAGGAGAACTTTTTTTTGTGTGTGTTTGAGTTTATGTCAATGCGTTACATGGCAGGGAGATTACTTTGAGATTTGACGTTTTCATTCCTTTTATCATTGACTTTGGTGTTAGGATCTCTCTGTATCCAGTGACGGCATGTTAAATGCCGTTCAGAGTGTGAAGCCTGGGGAGCTATTGACGGACTCTTCTATATCACAGTCTTCTCATCGTGTTAATCAGGGAAGAGAGCTAAAACCCTGGGTACCTGATGATGATGATGTTCCAGCGGGTCTGGAGAATGTGTTTGATATCCCCTGCAATAGGTATATATATACATATTTGATTGTCTTGTCAAATTTATTTATTGGAATGTTTGATATGCAAATTTGCCAGCTAAATCCTTAGATCACGGTTTCATAGCTGGACATTTTAGACGAGAGAATGGTGGGAATGGTAGATTATATTTATGCTTACACTTTAGACTGTGATTATTATATTCCTTTTAGAAAGCTATTATCTTTCTATATCTTCGTTGAGCTAGATTTTTATTTTTTAGTGAAAGCATATATTATATTGCGACAAAGAGCCCTTGGTGAATGTCCATTAGATTAGAAAGACTACTGTTTCCATAGCTGTCTCTCTTATGACCCATCTTTTCTGTGCAGTTATTTGGCTTTTCTTTCCTTGATATGTCTCAGAATTTGGCTATTTACTGGTAATATTCTCAGCTGATCCGTTTCTGCTTGCAGCGGATGGGATCAGTTTAAGGTGAATGAGTCACTGTTTGGAGTAACGAGCACTTTCGATGAGGAACTCTATACCACAAAACTTGAGAGAGGGCCCCAGACTAGAGAGCAGGAAGAGAAAGCCAGGAGGATTGCGAGAGAGATTATGGGTGAGAATACCCGAGATCTTCATGTAGCAGAGGTGATTTTTAGGGGTTTTATTTGCAGGTTGATTCATACGTGTTTGTTGTTGTTATAACTTATAAGTCCAATTTTCTAAATGTCCATGCCTGCAGGAAAGAGGCCTTCAGCTTAATGAGAAATTTGATATTGACGAGGAAACTAAATACTCAGCTGTCCGTCCAGTTGCTGGATTTGATGATAGTGGGTTTGATGAGGAGGACGACAAATTGATGGATACTTGCAACGATCAGACTTTTGGTGGTTCATCTACTTCTGATGGCCAGAAGCCAGCTTCTTCTAGTGGCAAGGGCTATGGAGAATTACGGGTATGGCTGAGTTCTTCTTGATAGTAGTTTCTAACTTTCTAGAAGAACAATTATTGATATTGTCATTCATTTTCATTCAGAGTGACAGTCAGCCTTCTCGGCACCCTCCCTCTGAACTGCGTTCGAAAGATCTTCCTGCCCTAGGCAGCAATATCAGGTCATTCTTTTTTTTTTCCCCATTAGGCTATAGAATTTCTCATCTATATAATCATCTAAATGACCTGTCTCACATTGGGAGTTTCTCTCGACATAACAGTGGGGGTGAGCGAAGAAACAGCAATAAACCAGAGGTCTCCCACAGTAACAGAGTAAGCTCAACTCCATGTTTATTGTGCCCGTTTAATCATGTTCCTATACTTTTAATTTTTAACATTGGTTATTTGCATTCTTTTTGCATGAACACAGTCAGCTGAGGAATCAGTTTCTGGTCATGGAGGTATATGCTAATTCTCTTTTACAGTGTTCTCTATATTTGTTTTTTCCGTTTGAACAATTGATGCCCACAGAAGTCTGAACGTAATATCCTGTTCAAGACGTAGCATTACCTTTTCATTTTTACAAGCATGACTCACGTTTTCTCGGCCTGACACAAGTATATGTTTCCACGTAAAGTTACTAAATATGTATTTTGGAATATAGATATCAATGAAGGTGCAAAATTTGGTGGTGGTGCAACCACGGTGGTGTCGAAGGGTGTTGCTGAGAGAGAAAGACAAGCCAGTCAAGTTTCTGGTAAAACAAAACCTGAAAGCTCTTCTAGAAATTCAGAAAGCCGCCCAGCTGCTTCAACATCAAGTCGTCCTGGACTATCACCAAGCTCGTCGATCGGTTCTTTGTCCTCATCAGAAAAGTCTACTCTTAATCCGCATGCAAAGGTTTGATTTGTTCAAACTTGATCTACTGTTAATTGTGTGTGTGTGTTTAACTAATGATGATGAGCCATTGGGTGTGAGCAGGAATTTAAACCCAATCCAAACGCAAAGAGTTTCAAACCATCGCAAGCAGCAGCTGCTGTGCGGCCTCAGTCTCCAGTTGCAGATGCCTCATTCTATTACCCAGCTGGTCCTGTTCAGCAGATGCCTGGAATGCCTGTTGGTTACGGAGTAAGTTGATTGTGCTAACACTACAGCCTAAATTTACTATAGAAACGAGATCTATGTCATTGAAACACTTGTTTTTCTCGCCATGCAAAAATATGGCAGATTCAACCGCAATATCCTGGGCAGCAGCAGATGATGTATTATCATGGCCAGCAGCATCCTCAACCCTATTATCCTCCAAATGCACATGCACAACCCCAGGTTTAACACTAACACACAGACCTTATTGTAATCATCACTGTTCATCGAAATTAAAAAAAGAAAAAGTGTAAATGGTAATGGAATTGTGATGTGTTGTAGTATCCTCAGCAGCAGCAATTGATGATTGGTCAGCCTAGGCAGCAAGTCGTTTACATGCCACCTCCTCCTTACCAGCCGGTTGATTGCTATTTCCATTCTTCTTTCTTTCTTTTATGTTCATAATAAAGAGTTGAGCTTCTGGATGCTGAGATCTCTGTGTGTCTGATTTACAGGAAAATCCATATAATCAAGGACGAGAGTAATCACCGGATGCTGATGATGATGTTTGCGTTTTTTCTTTTCTTTGTGAAGGACGTGAACGAACCAACCCACTCTGTTTTTGGTTTACGCTCTTCTTCTTTTTAGATTTCCCCCGTTCGGATTTTTTAATATCTCGTGTTAAAACAGAAAAAAAAAAAGACCAAAAAACATAACGATATCTGTCTGTGCTCTCTGTTTTCTTGTATCTGAAGATATATAAATTTTAGAGTTTAGGTTTTTCTCATGTGTCATCAATTCGTGGTTCGCATAACGTCTTTTGTTTTCAATAATAGGACGTTTAACTTTGCTATCCATAGTTGGTCTAGCGATTATTATATTATATTAATGAATTTAAAGGTGTTGACATGTTAGATGAGACGATTTGGTGGGTAAGTAGAGTATGTTTAAGATTCGACCAAACCAATTAAGAATCGAACCTAATTTGCCTGTCGCATATAGAATTAGGCGTGATTGCCTTGAGCCATTTAATAAATTTTGTTCTTAACGAATCTCAACATCCAAAAACTACTACGTTTTCTGTGTGTAAAACATTTTTTTTTTTTTGTCAAGTGGAGATTTCAATCAACTGTCACTTGAGTTATGAAATATTATGTGATTCCACACCAATATTCATCTAGATTTTTACCTATGCTCTTTTTATAATCACATGTCTTCTCATTGCTTATCAGTTATCTTTACAAATTCTTTTTAATAGCTCACACGAAACCAACCACCAGATATTGATGAAAATTTCCAAGGTTCTTGATTTTTTTGTCAGGTTCTTATGTATTGAAATCTTCCAAGGTTCTTCTTATATACGTATACAAACCGAAAGAAGACAAAAAAAAAAGAATAAATTCCTCAACTAAAATACCTTGCTTGACTTGATTTATGTTTCTTCTGTTTTAGGCGAAGTAAGTTACAAAGTTCGTTCTCTTTTTATAAAGATAGTTTGTTCAAAAGGCTATTGAGACCAACTCCAATAGAGATTTTTAAGGATCTAAACAAATGTTCTTAATAATAAAACTGAATAAAAAAAATACTTCATTGTGTCTTATATTTTAGATCAGTGTCTAAAATAAGATATGTCTAACTTAAGAACGCACATGTGGCAAGATGTTAGTGGACGGTGAAAAATTTCAGTTTCTGAATTGCATATTTATAATTTATATGCTTTCATGTACAGTAGAAATTTTATAAATTAATAATGTTGGGACTTCAATATTTTATTAATCTATAAAGTTATTAATTTATCAGTTTTGGATAAAATAAATTGTTTATTAATAATTAATTAAAATAACATTTTCTTTTAAATTTATAATATTTTTCAAAAATTTTATTAGAAAAATAGAGATAAATGATAAAAATATTTTTACTTTAGTACAAAAAAACAACAATATATTTATATTTAATAGATTATCATTATTATATAATTATATAAAATTATTTTATATGATGTTTATTAATTTATGATATAAATAGGACTATATTTTACATAAGGTTTCAAAAAAATATTATCTTATTAATTTATTGATTTATATTAAATTTTGGATCGGTTCAACTCTGGACTGAACAAAAGTATTGATTTATCGAATTTGTTAAATATTAATTTATAAAAATTTCTACTGTAATATGTTTTAAAAATTGTTAACAAAAAGTTTTACTAAAATTTATAAATATATATATAATTTTTTTTTAAGACACCCATCAAAAATGTCTCCATTATATGTTCTAAAAACAACAAAAATTATAAAATATTTTATATACAAAAAATACACAAAATATTAATAATTAATTAATAAGACACCTACTAATAGTATCTCTATTGGGCTTGCTTTGATTGCGTCATTAAAAGATGTTGACAACCTCCACTACAATAATTTTTCTTTACCAAGGCCAAGATATTTTTCTTAAAACTTAATAGTAATAGCCAAACTCATTATTCGAGAAGCTGGAAACTTTTTATTCGAGACTTTATTGTATTTTAATTAGTTTGTTAAAAAGGAAGAATGTATTTATAAATGTGACGTGTTTCATCTTGGAAGCACACCGGACGGCGGACGGTGAATATCACGCGCACTGGAGAGAACAGCGATGTGGCGGCTGTGAATAATATAATAATTGACAAATATTCATTACATCACACAACAATCGTTCCCGTAACGTAGGCCTTACACACACCTGATTATCTCTCCTCTCCCAAAGTGTTTGTAGTAATTTTGTATCCACTTTCTTTCACTCACTGTTGAAGCCTTTTTATAATCTTATTCATTAGCATCCAAATATCTATAAACCCTAATCAAATACTCCTAACAGATATTATAAAAGACTACTTCTACTTCCACTAAGAACTGTAAAACTAATATATTATTTATAAAGAGTTCACTAGTAGTATTTGATAAGTGGAGTATATTGTTTATCTAATTATTTGGTAAGGACCCAAGGTGTAAAGGAGAGACAACCAAACAAAAAAAGGAAGAATAATAATACTAAAACAAAAGGAAGATAAGAGTGGTTAATAATAATGAAAACAACGAATAATATTAATAGTTAAATGTCAGCTAAAAGATTTGTTGTGTTGATGGTTAAAATTAGTGGTGGGAAAATTGGTATTGCGCAAGAAATAAATAAATAAAAAGAAAGAGAGCTTTTAAGCCATAGCCAATAATGCCCAAATTTGCAGACAGTGAAGAGATAAAAGAGAGAAAGAAGAAAGAAGCCATGTTCTGAGGAAGGAGACATGCATCATCTCAGCCTTACATGATTTTTATTTTTTCTTTTTCTCTCTCCATCTTCACCAAATCCACCATTAGATTCTCTCATTCTGTGTCGCTCTATTTGGCTACTTGTACTCTTGCTTTGAGAGGGCAAAACAAAAAAAAACCATTTTTAGGCGATAGGTGAGAAAAATCTATTTGTTTCTACTTTTGGTTATGTTCTGTTTTCTCGCTTTTTTTTGCTCAACTGGATCAGTAAGGAGTCTTTAATGCAGTTGAAATTCCAGAAATCTCGTCGATTGATTTCTACTTTGCAGTTTTTTGATGATTTTGCCAGTTACTAGTATTGCATGTTTCTGCTTCTCTCTGAGCGTTTCAGTGATTGATCAAAATATGTTTTGTTCGGCCGTCGATTCTCAAATTCGGAATCTTTGCTTTCTATTTTTGTATGATGATAATCAGATCTGCTCTGTGGTTTCTTTCTTTCTCTTAGATCTGTTGTTTTTGTTGCTCTTACTCTGGATCAAGAACTGTAAAAAAACATCTCTTTTGTCATGATGGATTTGATCTACTACTATGGTCTTGAAATATTAGCTTACTTGAATTAGTGTTTCAGACAATGCAAGAGATCCGTAGCAAAGATTCACTGTCCTTTCCTGCAGCTTCGTGGGAAAACTCTGTCTTCACAAACTCAAATGCTCAAGGACCGTCATCATCCATGACCGACAACAACAGTTTAACCTTGACGACAGAGACGATGTCCACCCATTTCCCGGTGATGAAGCAAGCTGGTTTTCAATTGCAGGAGCATGATTCTTCCTCAACACAATCCACTGGAGGAGAATCATCCGGTGAGGTTGCGAGTTTGGGTGGCAACAGCATTGTTGTTACACATCATCTCTCAGGTCCAACTTTTGTCCTCCGAATAAGAGTTCACATTTGCATCAAACTGCAATGTGTTTTAAACTGATGATGTATGGTTTCTTGTTTCGATGCAGGTTACAAAGAAAGCGCAGAGAATTTTAGTGGAAGTCATTCCAAGGTCTCTGGAAATCCTGCTATTGAGGTTAATTTGTTAATCATCTTTTGACCTTATTATAAATCTTGTAAACACAATACTAATGACGTCTATTCTCAGGCTTCTTGGCCTCTACATGGCAACGAAACGCCACATTTCAACGCTTTCATATCTTTTCCGTATGCATCACAACACACGGTAATACACAATTATTTCACATCTTTTTGCTTAAAAAAATTATGATCTTATGAAAGTGTTTGTTGTGGAAATCTATGTGCAGCATCCACAAATTGGAGGGTTGATTCCTTCAAGAATGCTTTTGCCTCACAACATTCCAGAGAACGAGCCAATCTTCGTCAATGCGAAACAATACCGAGCCATTCTCCGTCGCAGGCAGCACCGTGCAAAGCTTGAAGCTCAGAACAAGCTCATCAAAGTCCGCAAAGTACGGTTTATATGATCTATAACTCTGTTGACACCTTTTACGATACATAGGAGTATATATAAAGGTCTCAGAGAAGTGACTTTGTCTTCTCTTATAATATGCAGCCATACCTTCACGAGTCTCGCCACCTTCATGCGTTGAAGAGAGCTAGAGGCACTGGTGGTCGTTTCCTCAACACAAAGAAGCTTCAAGAAACACAATCTCCTCCATTCTTGGGCTCATCACCGCATTTCTTCAAGAACCCTCAGGGAAAGTTCCGGCAAAGGGACATTTCGGCCGTTGCGGTCGGCTCTAGCAGCTCGGCTACATCTTGTTCGGACCTAACTGGGAACAACAACGACATGTTCCAACAAAACCCACAATTCGGGTTCTCGGTTTATCCATCAAACCACCATGTCTCTGTTCTCATGTGAGACTCTTGCTCCGGCAAGTGGTTTTGGTGACGAAATCATGACGGGAAGTCATCCTTGGCTAAGAGTTACTGATCAAAGTTTCTTTATTTATGTGATTGTTTATGGTTTGTTGATACTTTGGTTCAAACTTTTCGTTTTGATTAAATGAACCTCCAAATGGGTTTGTGATTTATGTAAATGTATAATTATTTGTTTTTCGACTTTTTAAAGCTCAGTTGTGTTTTTTTATTCCTATTAGTCCCACTTCAGCTCTAAACTCTTGCAAAAGTTTCTACCGAAATATATTTGATCAAAATATCATATGATTTTCCTATTATAGCTGAAAACAATTTGACCTATTCAAAATTAACGTTTGAATTATTGACACTTTTTGGAATAATACATCTCTAGTAGCAGAATGTGGAGGCTTTGAAAAACATGATTCACTGCATAGAGTCTGCTAACATGAAGAGCTATCCTGAGTAAAGTTGCAGCAGAGTAGCAGCTTTCGAAGGAATGCAAAGCTTTCACATCCACCACCATATTCAGTAATTGACTTAATTGGGATCATACAGTAAATTGGATCTTTCTGAGGATATTTTCTTTAATAGATGTTTTTTGTTTGGTCATTTTAATATAATCCAATAAAAACTGTATAATGCTTTAAAATGAATATTCTATAAATTCTTTCAAAGTCAAATATTGAATAACACCCCCTAAATCACATATAAATATTGTTGTGGACGAAAAATTATTATGAATAATGAGAAGGCATGTCATCAAGTGGTCCATTGAACTTCGTTTGACCAAGGCAAAACGATTCAACTCGGGGAACAAAGACATTTTTGTCTCTATCTCATGACGATTGAAGGTTGAAGGTTATATTATGTCTTGACGTTAAATTATAATCAGTTCTCAATTCCTACATCCAAATCTTTACGATTACAATCATTCACCAACCAAGTAGGTCACAAAACTATAATTTGTTGTACTGCTCGAAGCACTAATGAGATAGTACATCTCTCTAAATCTTTAAAAAAAAAACATTATGTGTTTTGGATTGTGGATATATATCGAATTCATATATCCAAGAACATGTGCCATTTTTGCATCTGTATAGTTGAAAAACACCATACCGTTTCTCCTCTGTAGAAAGAACAAAAAAAAATGTAAATAAATGATAAATTGAATGAAAAAACAGAGACAAAGAAAAATACTAACCAAAGTGCGACTCTTTATGATTTTTTCTGTGTGGGCGTTAACATGAAGTCAGTCTTCATTCAGGCCAAAAAAAGTAAATACATTATCAACTCTGTACAAACCTTTAGTGAAAATATGAATATCATGAAGTAATGTTGCCGGAAATACATCATGTATATATATAAAGACACTAAATGATTCTCTTAACTCATCTATCTGTTTCCAAATATCTAAACTAAAGTGACAAATCTGGTACAAAAAAAAAAAAAGATGACAAATGATACGTCTAACAAATTGGTTAGCATCATTCACCAACCAATTAGGCGTCACAAAACAATAATTTGTTGTACTGCTCAAATCCCTAATAAGATTGTACGTCTCTCTAAATATATTTCTTTAAAACATTATGTGTATTGGATTGTGGATATATATCGATCCAAGTCCAGTTGTGGATTATGAAAGAATTATACAAGCATAATCGACAACTTAATACGGATATTTCATTTATGTTGTTTATATATTAACGTTAACCAGTACAATTTTACTTTAGTTTTGACAAGCTGTAAACCATTAAAAAAGAAGAAAGATTATCCTCGAGACCAACAAACAAAAGATAAATTCAAATTCTAAGTCTGCATCATAATATGTCACCACAAGCTAGACCTTGGTTATAATAAATACTAATGACAACATCATAGTACAGATTGATACTCTTTATCTCTTAAATCTTCTATAAAACACCTATATATAACATTATATTATATAATGTCTGATATCCAACATATATAGTTTAGTCCAACCTGCAACATATATAGTTTAGTCCAACCTACAACAATGGTCCCAAATTGCAATGAGTGAAGAGACTAATTGACTTAAGAAATGAAAATCAAATTGTAATATTAAAATGGTAATTTTCACAAATATATAAAAAATTTCGAAAGGTAGTTATAGCAATATAGTCGTCGATACACACCAATACTGTATATAAGACCACACGCCATTTCAGCGTATATCCGATTCTCATTGAATAAATTCTACAATCCAAATGTTTTCGATTCCTGTAATTATTGTTTATCTTAAACCTTAACCTTTCACCTACTCACAAACAGTACTCTTTTTCATAACCTATTCAATGTCGTTAGAAGAAACAGAACCACCAAACCAGACTCTAGATCATGTCCTAGGCTGGCTTGAGGATTCTATGTCATTAACACCGTTACCTGAATTCGATGATTCTTATTTTCTCCACGAGCTTGAGGGGTCTCAAACGTGGGAATGGGATCAGACTCAAGATCCGGGACATGATTTTCTTCATAGCTATACTCAAGATCTCAATGCATATGTGAGTTGTGAAGCAACTAACTTAGAAGTGGTAACAGAAGCTCCAATACTCGTTGATTCGGATCCTCCACCCGAACTTCAGCAACCAAACGATCAGTCCAAGAAAAGAAACCGTGATGGACTTATCGATGTCCAACAAGCGAAAAGATCAGCAAGGAGCAAGAGAAAAGCAAACAAGTCTGGCGAGAAGAGCTGTAAAGATGGTAACAAGGAAGAGAGATGGGCAGAACAACTTCTTAACCCTTGTGCCTTGGCTATTACGGCAAGGAACTCATCAAGGGTTCAACATTACCTTTGTGTTCTCTCTGAACTGGCCTCTGCTTCTGGAGATGCTAACCATCGTCTTGCAGCTTTTGGTCTTCACGCTCTGCAGCATCATATTTCAACCTCCTCTGTTTCATCCTCTGTTACTACTTTTGCTTCGGCAGAGATCAAGATGTTCCAAAAGACTTTGCTCAAGTTCTATGAGGTAAGCCCTTGGTTTGCTTTGCCTAATAACATGGCAAACTCAGCTATCCTGCAGATTCTAGCACAAGAGCCGAGAGATAAAAAGCCACTTCATATTCTTGATATTGGTGTTTCTCACGGTATGCAATGGCCCACTTTGCTGGAATCTCTGTGCAGCAGACCAGAAGGACCTCCTCCTCATGTTCGAATAACCGTTGTATCCGATCTAACCGCAGACACAGCTTTCTCTGTTGGTCCACCAGCTTACAATTATGGTTCTCAACTCATTGGCTTTGCTCGGTCCCTCAACATCAACCTCCAGATCAGCGTACTGGACAAGTTCCAATTCGTTGATACCTCACCTCATGAGATCTTGATCGTCTGTACTCAGTTCAGACTGCAACAGCTGAAACATAGCATCCCTGATGAGAGAAGTGAGGCTTTGAAAGCACTGAGATGTTTGAAGCCAAAAGGAGTGGTTCTTTGCGAGAACAATGGAGAGTGCAGTAGTGGAGGGGAATTTGCAGCAGGGTTCTCGAGGAAACTGGAATATCTGTGGAAGTTTCTGGATTCAACATGCTCTGGATTCAAAGAAGAGAATAGCGAAGAGAGGAAGCTAATGGAAGGAGAGGCAACAAAGGTGTTGATGAGTTTGGGAGAGATGAACGAAGGAAAAGATGAATGGTATGAGAGGATGAGAAGAGCCGGTTTTTCCGCAGAAGCATTCGGGGAAGATGCAGTTGATGGAGCCAAATCTCTACTGAGAAAGTATGACAACAATTGGGAAATGAGGATGGAAGATGGAGATACCTTCGCTGGGTTAATGTGGAAAGGAGAAGCAGTTTCCTTTTGTTCCTTGTGGAAGTAGTTTTAGCCTCTTTTATGTTTTGTCATTCATTTTCGCTGTAAACTTCAAAACTAAAGCCATGTGTTTTGCAAACATTATAGGTCCTCTGTATTTCACACTTGTTGGACAAGGGAGTTGAAAAATAGCAACATACAAATTGATAATTGAGTAGAAGAAGCAGTTAAAAGGAGATGTTATGAAAACTGAACTAGTTAATAATCTTTTTCTTTCCTTTTCCCCGTTTTGTTGATGCTTTGCAACTGAACATAAGGCGAAGAGCACACAAGTGGGACACAATATCCTGCTGAAGTATATCCAAACTTGCTAATACTCTTCTTAGCTTCTCCGATATTCACAGATCTGAAGTACCCGTCTTGTCCGACGATGTAAGCTGTCTGGTAGCGACGCATCGCGGTCTTTTCATATCCGTCTAGATCGAAAACTACGGCGACTTTCCTCTCCTCGTTAATGAAGAAACTCCCAGCTTTAACGTTAAACTGAAAACCAGTGAGCGGTTTCATATCAACTTTCAAAAACATGCTCCAAGACACATCACTGGGATCGATCTTAGTGGTAACCCAAATCTCCATTATCTCAAAAGATCTCACCCCTTGATATAACACAGAGAGCTGCTCTTCTCCAAAACAGGACAAAGCCACGGTGTCTCCGACATAAGAGTGAAAAGGAAGAGGCAGACGTGGACCAAAACTCTCTGTTGTAAAATCGAAACAGAGCAAAAAGTCTTCAATCTCTGTTGGTGTGGTACCTTTCCACCCTTCACTGTAGCCTTTTCTCGAGCGAAGAAGTAAGTGTTTCCATGTAAAGACACGCTGCGTTGATGAGGCTTTATATCCCAGTCCGAAGTGACATTATAAAGACCTCTCCATAAATTTGAGCTAAGATCGTAGATTTGGTACGTAAAGACGATTTTATCGTCGCCACTCAAGTAATCATCTATAAACCTCAAGATTTTTTGGTTACGGTTCTTGTCATATCCGAGAGCATACCTGTCTATTTTGCTGAACCTGTCTCTGGGTAGGATCCTCCTGGTTTCCCCTGAACACGGGTTCCATAGCAAGAGCGACTTCAAGGAATTATCAACGCATAACAATAAACCGTCGCAGGGAACAATTTTAGATATCTCGACTTGATCAAGTCCTCTTACTTTCTTTATAGATGGAGCAACGAAGTCGGCTTTGTTGCGGATTCCTTGGAAACAGAATCTCAAGAAACAAACCCTTGAATCCATCATCATGAACCCTAGAAAGTGCCGCCTCCTTGCTTCTGATTTCGATAAAGCGTTCCAGGTTTTGCAAGTAGATCCCACTGATCTCAGAGATGTCGAACAGACCCTATGGACTATCTCCCATACCAAATCCAAGGTAAGATCGGACATGTTCGTCATTGTTTTTACTTTTTAGGTTTCACTAAACAAAATAATTATGATCTTCATCTCAAATAAAGTACATGTACAGTATATAT